ATCAAACTCCCCATATCACTCCACATAAATTACACAAAAAATGCTTTATGAACATAATTTTTCTTCAATTTTTAATTAGTTTCTGAAAAACAAAAACTGAGTGGTATTGGTCCAAAATCCAGCTCCGTCACTTCTACAGAATCTAAGAGTGGCTGCAAGGATTAAATGAGATAATATATGTATAAACATATATATATATGGCAGTATTTGGCACATAGCACTTAATAGATGTTAGCCATAATTATTAGCTTACAACGCTGGCCATGTTGTTTCTCCTCCTAGGCCTCCTATTTTTTTCATCAGGTACAATGGGAATGATGACCATATGCTAAAAAATTGAATGAACTGGTTTTTTTTTCAAGGCAAAAACCAACTCACAAATTTGAAAATCTGCTATCAGTGTCCAATATAATGATACAAAAGAGAAAAATAAAGCTAAAATTAGTTATCTCTCATCCACCCAAAAACAGGCTTCCCCTCACATCTTTCTGTTCAGTGCTTACAAGCAGTTCTCATCACACCAATTATGTTATTACCAAACATACCTTACAGCATGGATACAGGTACTAAGTATACGTAAAGTACTAAACGCAGTACCTGACAGAGTAAGATCTCAGTACATAGAACTAATTATTATTAATAGAGAGGATGAGTTGACTATCAAGCAATATTTTAGAAAAATGTCCTGAACATATTAAAATCATAGGCTGAAACTGGGAGCAAGTTTTATGCTTTCCAAAGACATTTCAGTATCTTGATAAAAGCAAAAATCACTGATGTAATGGGAACCTACTTTACATAGGTTCTTTTTAAATCACACAATCCTACAGAACGAAGTATCATTCTTTCATAGATTAGGACACATACTTTAAGAGGTTAGAAAAAACTTGTTTGAAGTCATGAATTAATACTGGGAAAGACAGAACTTGGAACCTGCTCTGTACATCTGTAAAGCCCACAGTTTTCCATACTTCTCTGTTACAAATTTATCTCTTTAAAAGTCTTCTCTCCTGAAAAGCTGAGCTTCCAGACCCAAGAGCCCTGACCTTCATTTCTTTAACCAGCTATCCAACAGAACGTCTAATATAGGGGGGAACTGAGTGAAGGAAACAAATGATGGGAGCGGATGCTAGACATCCTTAATTAGCTTTGTAGGTACTTAACACAGATTTTCAGAAATACCAACCGGTAAACCTTCGGGCCTGATAAGGCCTATTGTTTCTATAAGAAGGGATGATAGCATGAAGTTAAGCTACTAATCTCTCTTTAAAATATATTACAAATTAAAAAAAAAAGTGTCAGTTGGGGACAAAGCAGAATCAGTATCAAAAACAAATGTCATCTTTATACTGATTTGATTCAAGCACAGACTACTTCCACTTCCCAGTACAACCTGCCCATATTGCTCTTGGGAATTCTAACTCTCAGATTACCACTGACCACAACGTTAAAAATATGAATAAACCGTTTTTTTTTTAAGGCAAAAAACCAATCACAAATTTGAAAATCTGCTATCAATGCCTAATATCATGACACTAAAGAGAAAAATAAAGCTAAAATTAGTTATATCTCATCCACCCCAAATCAGGCTTCCCCTTGTGTCTTTATGCTCACTGCCTACAAGCAGTTGTCCTCATACCAATTATGTTAATACCAACATTACACGCCCTTAAGGAAGGTGGTGTAGCACTTTTCACACAAAATAATTTCAAAATAGACAAAGCTGATAACGGAGGCAAAACAAGAATCACACACCCTCTAGCTCAGTGCAACAATACTCTAGACTCCTCTTTATAAGGCAATATAGTATAATAAAATTTTTAAAGGCAAAAATAAATGTAATCCTCAACCTAAAATGAACAAAGGTTTAACAGGCATCAGGTAAGTCCTTTCTAACCTTGCCTTTCTCTCACGTTTCATTCACTCACTGAAAAGTTACTGAGTGCCTACTGAATGCATGGTATGTATAGACATAAAAAAGCAAACAATGCGATCTAGTGACTTCCAGGGGTTAGAAATCAAAGTGACCAATCCCATGGTACTATAGTAAGTCGGACTCGTCTCAACAGTTTTGTGTTTTAAAACAGGAAAGCCCAAAGCTTTGAAATAAATTAATACGTGATGGAATTTCGGGTATCAATGAAATTACCATTACTCGACTGAAGGTACCCGTGTACTTGCAAAAGACCACATGACACCGCCTGTGAACGCATAGGGTTAGGCCTCTTAAGACAGGCGTGCAGCGCTGGAGCTAAAGCGCTTTGGCTGGAGGTGCGGCTGAGTGTAGACGGAGGGCGGATCCTGCCAGGACGAACTACTCAGATTCACATGGAGCAAGGGGCTCATGTAGAGGCAGTTCCTGGACCCGACACTCTGGGGAAGAGACCACTAAACCCGGCCCCTCAAAGCAGAGGTGACCTTGCCCGTCACCAAGAGCGCACACGAGACCCCACCGTAGAAGGTGGATTCGCTGCCGGCTTCCTCCCAGGCCCAAACAACCTCGCCCGGAGCGTCGCTGGCCGCACAGAGCAAGAGCCAGCTTAGCTGTGGGGACCGAGGGGAGCTCCTCCAGCGCCGCTCACCCGCCGCTCGCCGAACAAGTCCCAGCGGCTGCCCTGGGGCTTGACATTGAAGGCGGCGCCCACTGGAGACCAGCTAGTGCTGACCCTTCGGGCCCGGATCCCGGCTCCGAGGCTGCCCCGACCCGCCCCCCCGGGCCGCAGAGCCGCTGCTCTGGCTCCGAAGCCGCCCAGCCTTCCGGTGCACAGCATCGTGTCCCCGGAGCAGTCCCCTTCCTCGCCGCGACACCCCTACTCCCGCGCCCCAGCTTTCGTCCGCAGCGCGCGCTCCGCGTTTCCTAGGCAGCGGCTCACGCCGCCCCACGTGACGGCCCCGCTTCCGTGTCGGGGCAAGGGCTCAGGACGTGGGCACGTCGACGTCCAGAGAGTAAGAGCGTCGCTCCTCGACCTTCTCCGCCGCCGTCGCGATGTAGCGCCCCCTGTGTCCCGAGTAAGAAACGGCTAGGGTTGCGTTTCCCTCCCACGAGGCTGGAGGGTTGGGGGAGGGAGCGGCGGGCAAAATCATGACACATTCGGATTCGAATGGACATTGGGATATCTTTACCAGAGGGGAGAGATGGTAGGTGCTTGGGTAAACAAGAAATGCCCACCATAGGCCTTTCCCTTTTAACCTACTCTCGGTAAATTCATCCTGTACTTCTGCCTGGTGTCTCTGTCCGATAAGTTGTTTTTTTAAAGACGGGGTTTCACCAGGCTGGTCGGGCTGATCTTGAACTCCCGACCTCAGGTGATCCGCCTGCCTTGGCCTCCAAAGTGCTTGGATTACAGGCTTGAGCCACCACGCCCGGCCCGGTAGCTTGTTTTTACTCTTGCATAGCTCGTTTGCAAATTTGAGACGGGAAATTGTGAAAGAAGTCTAATGGAATGTTTCCTCCTGGGTTTCAGACTTGCTTGGGACCCATGATTCCTTTTTTCCTCCCCTTTCTCCCTTTTGGAATGGACTGTCTATCCTATGCCTGCCCCCACACCCCCACACTGTCTTTTAGAAGCGAATTAACTTGTCTGGTTTCACAGGATCACAGATGGAGAGAAATTTTGCCACAGGATGAATCTCATACTGTAGGTCTCCCCTTAACTTATTTAAATGACGTAGATGGTGAGAGTTGATTCGGAAAGTGTTAAGACTTTCGGAAATGTTGAGATGGGGCAAAAATGCGTTTTGCACACGGGGAGGAAATTAACTTTGGGAACCAGAGAGCAGATTGTTGCAGGTTGAACTGTGTCTCCCAAAAGAGATGCCACCCTCGGTACCTGTACATGTGACCTTATTTGAAAATAGGGAGTTTCCAGATATGATTAAGATGGGTCATACTAGATTAGGGAAGCTGTCCTTTAAGAAGAGGAAAATTTGGCTGATACAGGAGGACAGCCACCTGAAGATGGAGGCGAGGACCGGAGAGACCCTGCCACCGGCTGCCAGAAGCTGGAAGCAGCAAGGCCGATCCTCCCGCAGCCCCTTTGGAGGCAGCACGGCCCTGCTGATACGGTGATCTCAAACTTCTAGCCAACAGAACCGTGAGAAAGTCCACTGCTGTTGTTTAAAGCCTTCCAATTTGTGTACTTTGTTAGGGCAATCCTAGAAAACAAATAGAGATTCAAGTCTGGCAAATAATGACAAAACAACAATTTGCTGGATAGAATGATGATTAAAACGTAGGTTGGCCGGGCGCCGTGGCTCACGCCTGTAATCCCAGCACTTTGGGAGGCCAAGGCGGGCGGATCACCAGGTCAGGAGATCAAGACCATCCTGGCCAACATGGTGAAACCCTGTCTCTACTAAAAATACAAAAAAAATTAGCTGGGCATGGAGGTGCACGCCGGTAGTCCTAGCTACTTGGGAGACTGAGGCAGGAGAATTGCTTGAACCCAGGAGGCAGAGATTGCAGTGAGCCAAGATTGCGCCACTGCCCTACAGCTTGGGTGATAGTGCGAGAGTCCATCTCAAAACAAAACAAAACAAACAACAGAACAACAACAACAAAAAACCTAGGTTAGAAATGAGCAAAGTGGGAGGGAGAGCATCAGGACAATGCATGCAGGGCTTAATACCTAGGTGATGGGTTGATAGGTGCAGCGGACCACCACAGCACGTGGTTACCTATGTAACAAACCTGCACATTCTGTATATGTACTGTATCCCAGAACTTAAAAGGGAAAAAGTTTTAAAAAGACAAAATGAGCAGCGTCTACAGCGTTCTGGACTGTGACCGCGTCACCAGCTTAAAGCCATTACTAGTACTAAATGTAATAAACATTTCCCTTAATGTCCTCAGAAACACAGATGAGGGATACATCTTCACATGGCTCCTCAGAGCACTAAAATGATATCAAAACACTCTTCCCACAAGAAACACACAGGCAAAGCATTCTTCAGATAATAGGAATGATAGTGCGAGAAATAAATTAGAATAAACCATGCGGTTATTTCAAACATTTACTCCTGGAAAGATCGTAAGTTACACAGAGTCAATTTTAGGAATAACTTTTCCGTTTATAATGATTGTAATAATTGGAGGAATTAATAAAGTAAAATCATCAGAATAAGTTTGTCACCAAGCTGATTCTGATGGATGGTGTGGCGGATTTATAAACTCTTCTCTGTTACGGGCTGCTAAACAGGAGGAACCCTGTGAAAGTTGTGTCATCGTCCTCATCGGCGAACAGGCCATTGAACCTCTCTCCTCCTGTCACCTGCAGCCACACCTCATCCCCGAGCTTCAGCTGCAGGACAATGCCACCCGAGGCCTGGTCCTCGGAGCTCATGTAAGCGTCTTTGGTGTGCAGTATTTTTATTCCATTTTTGACCAAAGACACCTGAACGTTCCTGGAGAAAACGGTGATGTGGTAGGTGAAGTAATAGACCCCGGCAATGTGGCAGGTGAACTTCCCCGTTGCTATGTCATAATGATTGAATTCATTAAACAGGATCTTATCAAATTTAATGGGCACACCTGAAGAAGGAAACTTGCTCAGCACAGTGAGCCCCACAGTGAAAGCGCTTTTTGGCAAGACTAGAGTCTCACCGATTTTCCCTTTCTCTCCTCGGTCCCCTTTCCAGCCTCTTATTCCCCGGACTCCTGGCTCACCCTGGGGCCCCATGGGTCCAGCCTCTCCCTTGGGTCCAGGCTTTCCAATAGGGCCCATGGGGCCCGGTAAACCAGTTGGGCCCAAAGGCCCCGTGTTGCCCCTTGGCCCCTCAGGACCAGTGGGACCCACGTCACCCTTATTCCCCTTCTGCCCCTGAGGCCCTGTCTCTCCTCGGAGGCCCTTCTCTCCCATGGGGCCTGCAAGCCCCTTGGGCCCATGTTTTCCTGGTGATCCTCTTGAGCCTTGATCACCTTTGACGCCTTTTGCTTCAACTTTTCCATCTGCTCCTAAATAAACAGCAAATAGAGATGGTTTGTGAAAGATTCCCTTTTGAACAACTTTGTTTTTTCTATAATTGAGCTCACAAATGAAACAAAGTAGTGCACAGGTTCAGTATATGCCCAGAGTTTAAAATTCAGTTACTCCGCTGGGTGTGGTGGCTCACGCCTATAATCCCAACACTTTGGGAGGCCAAGAGAGGCAGATCACCTGAGGTCAGGAGTTCACAACCAGCCTGGCCAACATGGTGAAACCCCGTCTCTACTAAAAATACAAAAATTAGCCAGGTATGGTGGTGCACACCTGTAATCCCAGCTACTTAGGAGGCTGAGGCAGGAGAATTGCTTGAATCCAACAGGTGGAGGTTGCAGTGAGCCGAGATCATGCCATTGCACTCCAGCCTGGGTGATAGAGTGAGAATCAGTCTCAAAAAAAAAAAAAAAAAAAAAGTTCAATTACTCCATCTGGCTACGGTGGCTCACGCCTATAATCTCAGCACCTTGGGAGACGAGGCAGGAGGATTGTCTGCAGCCAAGAGTTCAAGACCAACCTGGCCAACATAGCAATACCCTGTCTCTAAATAAATAAATAAAATTCAATTATTCCAGCCTGTAATCCTAGCACTTTGAGAGGCCAAGTTAGGCAGACTACCTGAGTCCGGGAATTCAATATCAGCTCAGGCAACATGACAAAACCTCATCTCTGCAAAAAAATACAAAAATTAGCCAGGCGTGATGGTGCACAACTGTAGTCCCAGCTACTCGGGAGGCTGAGGTGGGAGGATTGCTCGAGCTCAGGAGGTTGAGGCTGCAGTGAGCCGTGATCAAACCACTGCACTCTAGCCTGGGCAACAGAGTGAGACCCTGTCTCAATCAATCAATCAATCAATGTCAATTACTCCAATTACACACGTGTGTGCACATGGACACACAACATAGCCCATCACACCTTTTGACTACTGTCTACTAAATTAGTATCAGGGCTCACGTTAGAAATTACAACTCTACCATGTAAGTCTACCATGCTGACTGTTAAATAATGTCAATCCGTGAGCAGAGACAGGCAGATTAACTAACATTCAACGCTAGTCATCTGACATCCTCTCAAAATCTCCTCCCTGGAAAGAACATAAAATAAAGGCTGCATCCAGCCACCCATTGCCCTCCCCTGCCCAACCCAGCCCCAACCCCTCCATCCCACCAGCAATTCATCATTCTACAGAAATCTTGCTACTTCCTTGCACCCCACCCATACGGAAGAGCCGTGGTCTCAAGTGTGGGCTCTGAGGTCAAATGCCAGCTTTCCATTCTGTCCCCACCACATGCGCACACAGGACATCAGGCGAGCTAGTGAGCATCCCAGGCCTCTGTTCCCTCACCTATGGAACTGGGATAATAAGGCTGCCTAGTGTCTCGGGATATTGCATTCAGTGAGTCAGTACATGAAAAGCACAAAGTGAAGATTACATGAGTTTGCCGCTATGACTACCTCCCAACCCGTCGGCTGCCACAGTCCTCCCTACCCTTCAGGGACCAGTTCTAGTGCCACCTCCTCCATGCAGTGCTGCCAGATGCACCAAGGCAAAAACTCAACCTCACTCCTCGGAGCTCATCCACTGAAGCAAGGTTCAAGGTTCGGCAAACTATAGCCACAGGCCAAATTCAGCCTCCCTCCCACAAGCTAAACAAACATGGTTTATGTGGGGGTTTTTTGGTTTTGTTTTTCTGAGGTTTTGCTTGTTTGTTTGAGACAGGGTCCCCTGCTCCATTACCCAGGCTGGAGTGCAGTGACGAGATCATGGCTCACAGCGGCCTCAACCTCCCAGGCTCAAGCAATCCTCCCACCTCAGCCTCCTGAGTGGCTGGGACTACAGGCATATGTCACCATGCCCAGCTAATTTTTTTTATTTGCATAGACAAAGTCTCACTATGTTGCCCAGGCTGGTCTAGAACTCCTAGGTTCAAGTGATTCTCTTACCTGGGCCTCCCAAAGTGTTGGGATTATAGGTGTGAGCCATGGTGCTTGGCCATGGTTTGCATGTTTAAATGATCACCAATAATATTCCACGATACATGGAAACCATGCGAAATTCCCGTTTCAGTCTTTACACATACTGTATCACTGGAACACAGCCATGCTTATTTATGGAGCATCTACAGCTTCTTCTTTTCGCTGCAGGGGAAGCTGAGTAGTACTGACAGAGCTGTCCGGCCTGCAGAGCCAAGAATATTTACTCCCCAGCCCTAGACAAAGCCTGCCAATCCCGGCAGCATCTCCACCTCTGGAGAGTAAGAACTGTGCTGCCTTTATCGTAAGATTATAACCAGCATGGAGTACTTTTCCCTGGTAAACACTTAATAGTTACTGTTAAATCCTCCACAGCTCAGAATTAGAGCAGTATAAATAGGAACTTCTAACCTCGTTCTCCCTTCTCTCCACTCGTCCCATCCTTCCCCGGGCTGCCGGGATGTCCCGGTTCTCCTAGGTGGAAAAGAAGAAAACAGGCATGAGTTGAAATTCTGTTTCTGATTTTTCTGGCCATTGGTCTCCATCAGCCATGTGCATTGGAGAGTCTAGGGGTGACCCCCGCCCTGAGGGGCGCTCTGTCCCCCACATGAGTGCAGATGGAGAGAGGCAGGCATGAGTGAACATCTGGGCTGCTGAGCTGTGCAGGGTAAGTGATCTAAGAAATGAACTGAGTGCGGGCCGGGCACAGTGGCTCACGCCTGTAATCCCAGCACTTTGGGAGGCCGAGGTGGGTGGATCACGAGGTCAAGAGATCGAGACCATCCTGGTCAACATGGTGAAACCCTGTCTCTAC